TATCAGTATTAAAAACACAGAGATAACCAATGGCAGTAGCCAAAATTACAATTAGTCCATTATATGAAGAATACAGATCTTTCAAAAAATAACACAGTATGAAATTTACAACTAAATTAAAATTTTAGGAGAAGGTCACAATTTTCTTTTCCACTCTGGAATACAAACATAAAATGAAGAATTTCTCAGTTTTTCTCAAATAACAAGAGCATATGCTGAAATTGCTAATTATGTATAGCTATTTTAAACATTATAATCCAAAGACCATAAAAATTTATAAAACAATAGCAACGAGTACACTTAAAATGAAAATTGATATTTTGCTGCTTCCATAGTGAACCCTATTATTACCACATATTATTATGAAATATTCATTATGCAAATTAAATAGAAGTTTTTGACTTCCAAAGAATGCAGAACTATTTACTTTGTTATCGATACTGTAGGAAATTCTGCAGCAATGTTGGCAGCTGGAGCTGGGGGATAAGGTGCAGCCTTTGTCTTCCTATGCAGTTACGGATACAGAGTCGGCAAAGTTGTCCAAGAGAGCTAGGGGTAGCTAAAGGAAGACATGAACACATTTACTAAAATCAAAATAATTTTTACATGTGGTAAGATAAATAAAAACAAAAATAGTGGCTTAGTATGGCCAATGGCAGAAAAATCCATGTCATTAATGATATTGTTTTGCTAATGAGATCTTATAATTGAGATATATCACATGAGCTCTTATATCTGAGAAATATCCCATACATGTTCTTTAGATAGTACAATCTGCAGTATTACGAAATTATTGTTTCATTAAAATTTTCAGAAAAATGCTGATCTTTAAAGGTGATCTAAATCAATAGAACAAAAATACATACTAAAATGTGAAAATTTTAAAGTATTTTTTTCACTCAACAGATTCAATATTTAAGTTAAATAAAATTTTAATAGTTTGTGAAATAAATTCTGTTTAAGAAAAAGTTGTCTTCAGGGTGAAAATCTTTCCTTATTGCGTTTCTACTACATGCTACAGAAGATACATCATACCTTATTAAAAGGGACATGTATGGGATGGCAATGAGGCTCAGTTGGTATAGTGCTTGCCTAGCATGCAAGGAATCCTACAATCAACACTGCATGACTGGGCATTGTGGCACATGTAATCCCAGCAGTTGGGAGGTAAAGTCAGAATTAGAAGTTCAAGGTCATCCTTTGCTAACTAGTGAGTTTAAGGCCAGCCTGAGATACATGAAATCCTGCCTCAAAAATAGTAATGAGGCCATTCAGGAGCTTGGGGTGTGACTCATTAACAGAGGATTCTCCTTGCATGTGTGAGACCTCGGGTTCACTTTTCTAGTATTCAGAAAAGTATCCTGTATGTAACTAGATGCTGCATCAGAACTACATATTAGTCATTGCTAAAACAGGTTGGACATATTTAACCAAAGGAATAAAAGTTCAGATACATTAAAAACCTTAAAATCATCATGCTTTTTCCTCTTGGTAGTATCTAAGTTGAAATTCTATATATTCACAATAAACATTTGAAATCATATAAAATTATTATCTTATGTAGCTATAAGAGCCTTTCACCTTCATCTACTTTAGGGAAGTACACGTTTTCCTTTATAACTGTTCCCATCTACCGTCCTTACCTTCGTGTCGTAGAAGTGTTCTTTCTACAGCACTGTTAGGTGGAGCCAGGTCTATAGGCCGCAGAAGTTCTGTGTTCTTCATGCTGATATCTGCTCCAAATTCTAACAGCAAGCTTACAATTTCAGTACTGGGTTGTTGAGCAGCAGCATGCAATGGAGTGTCCCAAAACTTGCCTTTATGTACATCAGCACCTATGTGATGGGGTGGATGACGAATTTAAAAAATTATTAGGTGAATAGCGACCTCTGTAGGGAGAGAAAAGACAATCAGGAAGGGATACAAAGATGACCTATACTGATGATTAGTCATTTCCTCTATATATTTAGAAATATTTATATATATGGTCTACATATATTTCATAAATATTACATATATAAGATATTACTTTTGATACTTTTGGATATGAATATATTAGTTATATTATTCCCAAATAGTTTTCTGTATGCCAGAAATATGTCATAATAAAGAGATTTAATTTTAAATCTTATTTACTTATTATTGTTTATGTATGTGCATGAGCTGTGTGTCAGGGCATGCAGGCAGCAATGTGTGTTACTCACTAAACCATTCGGAAGTTTAAACCATGATTACATCCACACATATCTATTTTCATCATAGGTGATAGCTCTAATGTTATTCTAGGGTGTATTGTTTTTATTCTTTTAAGTCACAAAAGTTCCTTGGTGTCTTTGAAAACTGATGGATATAGAGTTATGAATCATTTAGGTAAAATGTACATAAATTTGGTTGCCAATTTTAACCTCTGGGTTTCAATCAATAAATAATTACAGCAATTAGGCTTCTTGAATGGGAAAACATATCAATGAAAACCATATAAAAAGTAAAAATTTTGAAAATGTTTGCATTTAGAAAGCATAACCCCACATGCAAAATTATCTATTGACTAGTTATTTATCTTAACACAAAGCCTAGCACACAGGAGTCATTCAATTTGTATGTAATGAATAAATGCTGTGAATTCTGTAAAAATATAATGCCATTTTTGAGTACATAAATTATTACAAACCAAGAAATGTCTACCAATAAATATTTGTCTACAAATAAAAATTTCCCTCTGACCCAGTCTCCTGGTAGTTTGTAAAATTAATCATCATAAACTTTCTTAGACTTATACATTTTTGAGAGAATAGGTTCTGAAAACAGTGACCAATCAACCATTACTAACAGTAATTTTTCAATAGTCTTAAACCCATGACAAAGTGTTTGGTGGAAAGAATGATATTCCTACCAACATGAAGAAAGGTGATGAAGCATGTGCTATATCGGTTATACTAATTTGATGGGCAAATTGGCTAGGAAATTGTGATTTATCAACATTAGCAAAACTCATGTTTAAGACTTTAGTGTAATGTGCATAAAATCGTGAAAGCAAACACTCCTTACAAGAAATATATGTTACCTAAGATAATAATATGAATAATATGTAAAGGTGTTACTAAAATTATCTGTCTGGATAGACAAGGAACAAATGACTGTCATAAGCAATAAAGAGCATAAAAACTTGCTGTCTCATTTACATACAGTAAAAGCATGTACCACACACAGAGGCATTCTTCTAGAAAAAATACATGATAAGGTGAAGCGTGAACAATGTCAGGATTTTCCAGCTCCAAGATGAGAAAGATCACTATAGTCTGAATGAGTTAGAATCTTTTCTTAAGGAGAAACAGGAGAACATTGAGAAACTTAGTTATTTTGTGTTTGTGGAAAAGGAAAGCAAGTCTTTTCAAGCAACAAGATAGAATGTATAGAGTCTGGGAAAGTGATGAGTGTTATAGTTGGCAGGCAATAAGTTTATCCAAGTACTTACAAATCCTAAATTTCTTAATGCATTTGTTTGCAGCTAGATGTAAACTTCTCATCACTGTATTCAATTTTGAGAATCTTAATTTTATGACCTATCAGAAAATAGGGATTTCAGACTACATTACACACATGTGTACTAATCTAATGATTCATATGCTATCTGTAGAAAGCATTTATTCTGAATAAGTTTTGAAATATTCTCATCAAGAACAGGATTCTTTAATAGGTTATATATGCATATTTGAATGTTTACAATAAGAACCTTTAAGCAATGAGATATAATATTTAAAAGAAGCTTAATTAGAGCAATAAAGAATTATCTTTGTGTATAGACAGAATGAAGGATGCTTAAAAGAAAAGTACCAGCATAAAGAAGCTTCCAGACACAGTGGAATTGCTGTGACATACAAGCTACGTAAAGAGGAGTTCCCAAATGAGGACTGTCTTGATCAACATCTATGCCCCAGGATATCAATATGTCCAGACATTCATGATGACCTGTCAACACAAAGTAAAGATAAGTCTAATTCTTGTTAATGCATCTTTTTATCACATACCTCCACCCATGGTTTTCTCCCCAAATGTAACTCATTGAAAGATAAAAGAGGCAACTCATCTCCAGAATGTTTTCCTTTTTCACTTAATCCCATAACTAACCTTTACTGGCAGCCTCATGTGTGGGAGATGGAAAACAAGATTCCAGCTGAGCTTTGGCACCATATTCTAAAAGAAGTTCAGTACAGCTTGCACTGCCTTGTGAGCATGCATTGTATAAAGGACTCACGCCATCTATTGTGATCGCATTTACCTAAACCAAACCCCAAAACTGAGAATGAGATTCACAAATCATACAGGAATAACAAACTTGTTTATGCATTGTCCAAAGTTATATGATTTACTAAATCATTGGAAAAATATATACACCAAATCTGATAAAGTGTATTTAGTTCATACACATCAATAAGAACAGTTTCAAAACTTCAAAAGATAAATAGAAACATAAAGTGACAGATATGTCACAGAAATAAGCATTCTACTCTTGAAATTCAATAAAAAACCTGCATTCTAGAACACAGCAGAAACTAATTCAATGATTACGTAAATTTCAGTAAAACAAAAAAGGAATAAACACATATTGATGATAAAAGTGATTGAAGCTACTTTGCTGGTAGATATTTAAATTTGGTATATTGGTGAATCTATTTTGAGATTTTGTGTATGTGTGTGTGTGTGTGTGTGTGTGTGTGTGTGAAAATGTCTCATGTAGTTTGAGATAGCCTCAAACATACTATGTTGTGTGATTTTGAATGCTTCATCCCCCTATCTCCACCTCCAAAGATCCAGAAATCCAGGCTTGCAGGAAACATTCCCAGTTACTATTTCTGAGAATTTATTTCAGGAAACTTGCCCAAAAGGTAAGCAAAGCTTATAGGCCTAAGAATGCTCAGCTATTGTTCTTTGATTCATGAAAACAGAAAATCTAAAAAACATAATCATGCTAGTCATTTACACAATGGTTGGATTTCCTTTGCAGAGTGTCACGAGAAAGCAGGCATTTCAAGAGTCAAGGCTTTGATTTTTATTGTTATATTTTTTTCCAAACTACTAAGAAAGAAAAAAAATTAAAATGAGAACTTTGGTTTTGTCAGACAGTGTGTATGAAATTGTTAATATTTTAAAAAGCTTACATTAGCTCCAGCTTCCAGAAGAGTCCTTGCACATGCCACATGATCTCCCAGGCAGGCTTCATGGAGTGGAGTGACATGGTCTATGGTTACTGCATTTACATTGTAACCCTAAACATGACATGGATAATTTTTTAAAGTGAGAAAATAAGGTATGTTAGCATTGTCACCACAAATATCAATGGAGAATGGTTTAAAGGTTAAAGAAACTCAGGCAAATGCGTTTTCAGTTTAGCACCTAAGCTAGTCAGTCAGAAGTCAAAACTCTTCCTACTAGTAACTGTATATATCACAGGTTACTGGGATGTTATCTGATGTGCTCTAGATGTCATTCCTTCTGTCAGTTTTAGACCCTCAATTTAACAATTTCCATGTGTTCTTTCTTTGTCCCAACACCCTTCAACTTCTACTAATCAATATTCTACACTCAAATCAACTTTTTATAGTCTTTTGGTAAGTGGCATTTGTCTTTCTGTGTCAATGCTTTTTACTTAATATTCTGTAGTTCAATCAATTTTCCTTGTGGTTTTGTTTAAGGGCATTGTGGAGCCTCTAAAAGCAAGGCCTAACTGACAGAAGTTGCTCATAGTCTTGCTGGTGTGTCCATGGGTCATAGCCCTTCCTGGTTCCGGCCAAAGGTTTTTTCCTTGCTTCTGACTTGTGGAAATGTAAGAAGCTATGTTGCCAGCTACCGTACCCCAGCCAGAGCTCCAGCCACTAGATCTCTGCTGCATTAAACAGAGCAAACAAACCATTCAGCCCCTGAACTGTTTGTTGTAGGATAGTTGGTCTCAGGTAAAAGAAAAGCAACTAATATACATTAATTAACATAATGTACTCTAGTTCATAGTGAATACATATATTTAAAAATTATACTGTACTCAATAAATACAATCATTAAGTGTTAATCAAAATGTATTTGAAAATATTTGAGATGGAAATGTTAACTACCTTAATTTGATCATTATATATTGTATACAAGTGTTTATCGCACTGTGCCCCATAAACGTGTAATCATTCTACTGTATCCCAGATGCAGATATGTGAAATTAAAAACTTAAGACTCTATTATTGTAACAACATCACAATTGGCCTAGTAATGTCAAGTATTTTGTTAATTATATTCTTTAAATGTGGCTTTCTTAAATTCTTTGGTGGAGTAGGGATTCTGTGTGTGTGTATGTGTGTGTCTGTGTGTGTGTGTCTGTGTGTGTTTGCAATTAAAGACCTCATAACCAAGATTACTTGTTTTGTTAGGGCTATAAAATTATAGGCCAATCCAATTTTTTTCCAAGACTGGAGAAAAAGTAATTTTAGTAAATTGTTTTGTTTCCTCATTAAATAGTTACTTAAGTTACACATTGAATAAATAGGATTATGATCAAGAACTATGATTTTGAAATTAGTTACATGTGGGGTAAAAGCATGACTCTCTCATATAGTAATAATGGTAACTTGCACAAATACCTTGAATTCTAAATTTTAAGGTGGTCATGAGAGTTAAATGAAAGAATACATTCACAGCAATTATTATAGATCCAAGTGGACAGAAAATGTTTGATTTCATTTTTTTGTCTAACCAAACCAATAAATATTTATTATACTCAAATTAAACTCAGTATCAGACTATATCATTTAAAATTATTAAAATATAAGGTTCTCTGCCTTCTGGATATCAATAGTTATTCTTTATTTTTGATCATCTTAGAAGCACTGTTTTAGAAAGAATTTCAAGGCAAGAGCCTCTTAACATCTTACAAAGGGCCATGACCTATAACACCAGTACATACATGAAGAATCATAAAGCAAAGGCACGAGAATAGATAACACACTCCATTGCTGTCATAGGCAAGTGGAACTTTAAGAGATTCTGTCCTCGTCCCTTCCAAGATGTCAAGTTGCTAGTCAGCAGTGTGGGTTGGGGAGCTGCCTAGTGTGGCCATATGACAGAAGCATGTGAGAAGGTTGAGGTTCCCTTTCACAGACAGCTCTGGGGGAGATTCTCTGTCTTCTTGGCTTGTTTGTTGGTGGAGATGAGACACATTGAGAAATATTCTGGGACTGCCTTCCTCTCAGAGCACTTCCTGGCACTCTCCAAGAGATTACCCTTTGAAACCATTGACCTTTTTATAGGGTTTTTCCCCCTACATCATCAAGTGATAAGGAAAACAGTCACATGGCTGTCACAGAACTGGACACCCCAGGGAACACCTTGGACACATCTTCATGTTACAGGTGAGAAAATGACACTCTGGTAGGCTCCCTCAAGTGCCACCCTGGGATCCTGGCCTGTCAGAATGCTGTCCAGATTAGGCAATAACAAAGTTTCCTTTCTCACAGCCATCTGACGTGACCCTGGGAATCACTAGCACCTCCACACTGAGTGTACATTAGAGTCAGACTGACTGGAAGCTTAAAGTCTGAAATGCACAGGTCTAAGTTAGGCAACTTTCTACTTCAGAAAGGAATCTGTGCTTTTCATTTTTCCTCTGTTTACTCTGGTGAAGTAGGCAGATATAGAAATGAACCTTCTATAGCTTCTTACGTGATTTCCTATAATATTTCACTGATTACCACAATGTAAAAAACACTGCTTCCACATTTGGTCTGATTACCCCTTTAGGATTTTATAAAACTGACCTAAGTCTACAATTAGCTGTATACATTACATGAAAGTTAAGTATATTTAGACCATTTAATAAATAATACACAAATCTATTAATAATTCCCTAAATATGTCTACTAATGACCAAATATACTGTAAGGGAAACTTGAAATACTAAGGCATAGAATTATAAAAAAAATCCAAATGTAAATCAGAAATTCTTGACTTATCTGATAGGAACTACAATGAAAACACAGGAATGACACATAAGCAATTTTATCACTTTGAACTGACTTGTTCTGACAATCAGTGTTCTATGCTCATGGGAAGGAGGCTTATTTTAAAGAGTAATGTCGTATTTTACCTGGGATAACAAGGTTCTCAGAGCAAGAAGACGACCTTGACTTGCAGCTTCATGCAGTGGTGATCGATCTGCCCATGAGCCTGTCAACAACAAAAGAGAACATATTTTGTGAGTCAAAGTTATCACTAATAGGCACAAGCAGTTGTGATGTTATACTCAGCATTCAACAAGGTGACTCAGTTACTGATCCTACATCCTAGGAAACTTGATCCTTCTATGAAGGATCCAGCTAAGCAGTTTGTTATCCAGAGTGCCATGTGTGCTCTGGAATTGACCTGCTTCAGACTTATCCATTGAATTATCTGCTAATGAGGAGGACTAAGTGCTTTTTCATATACAACCAGGAATTCTATTCATTTATTGTATTTTTGACAGTGACAATTGCCAGAAAACTCATCTCTCCACACTTTGAGCCTACCCTATTATCTTTATCTCTCCTGTCCTCAGGCCGCAGACTGCCCTGGCCCTGATGTAGCTGGAGGAATCTGCAACCTGTTGCTAACAAGGTCAAGTAGCTGAGCTCCAAGTCTGAAACAGAGTGCAACCTAGGGGGTCTCCAGAAAGGGGCCATCAAAGGGGACATATAACAGTGCTAGTTATATTTGAAATGGTGGTGATAGTGCCAAGGACTCACACTGTCATATCATGCAATCACCATACACTAGGTGTGGGTAGGCCAGGGCAAATGGCCCCAACCTGTGACTGGTAAGACTGCACTGGCTACCATGCCTCCAAGATTTCCTTTTCTCACATGTCTTTCACACCCTACTTATTAGGAAAAGTGATTTTCCTGCATGAAGAAATCTCTTTTTCTTCCTCTGCCAAGGTGACACATCATTTGTTTTTACCTCTCTCACCCTGTGGCCAACCAAGAGGTTTGAAAGGTTACTGGGTTGAAGCACCATGATTTTTCTGTAATTAAAACAGCCACAGCTCTGCCCCTGTTGGTTCAATTTACTGGACATGAAGGATAATTTTAAATATCTTTAGGTGATTAACTGAGCAGCCTGTACATACCAGAAAGCACTTGCTTAAGCAATACTGATGAGAGAGCACATCTTCATAATGCAGCACAGTTATTATTTTGTAATTACTAGCATCTATCTTCTTGTCTACCACCTCTTGTCCCCTCCCCTTGTTAAATCCATAAGCTGTAATAAATACAGAATTTTAAAGCACTGGATAACTTTATTACATGCATGTAAATAAAATCCCTTAGATATTAGTCAACAGCATAAGCTTTGTGAAATCTCTAAAGTTTGTTTAAATACATTTGGAAATTATTAGAAATATAACAGTAAAAGAATGCTATGTTTTCAAAATCATTTCATTATTTTTGCCTCTTAGACAATTTGTAAAAAAATCCACTTGATTGGACCTTATTCTATATTACAATCTTGTCACAAGCTTAATCATAACACTGTAAACAATATCCTAATATTTCCAATGAATAAAGTCCGGGTACATGCCACAAAGAAAGTAAGTGACCATATTAGCCTGGCAGACAAAGCAGAAAGTCAGTTGCCAATTATCGATCTGTTTATGTCTAATGACATTATAGTATTTTGTTGAGAATACAAATACTAAGGGGGAGAGGGCAGGATAACATTTTCTCTTTACCGTTGACTTATGACTCACTCTGATAATAGTTACTGTTTAATAGATTTACTATGTAGATAACACTAGTCTAAGCACTACATTCAAGGAAACATTTAGTTCTCCCAACGATGAGCTGAGGTATATACAATTGGAACTTCTTTCTTAAAACTGAAAAAATGAAACCTAGAAAAACATGAAATTGTTAAGAGGAACACATAGTCTAAAGGCACAGCTGATGGCCCTCACCACCTTTCATCTGTTGCCTGTTGGTTTATGTAGAGCCATTTTCCTCAGGAGAAGTAATAACTTGCCTCCAAAGTCTTTCTGAATACCTTTGGTGACATTAAGTTTTTGGAAACAAGCATAGCATATTCAGCAATCCAATTTTGTGCTAGATAATTCTTGGGAGCTATATGTCTATGAAGAAGAATCACTCAATTCTCAGGGTTTGTATAATGCAAGAAAGCTGTAATATTTTGTTTATTAAAATATGTATTCTACAGAGTATTCTGTAGAATCAGTATATTTGAAACTTTACCAATTCATTGAACAAAGTCTCAGTGGATAACTATGTGTTACACCCACAAAAAGTAAGGTGGAAAAACAATCAATGAGGAGTCTCCAGATCAACCTCGGGTCTCTACAGTTGTGCACACACACACACATCCAAACATCCACACACACAGACACACACACCACACACATATACATATATACATAAAACGGAGGAGGGGGAGAATTTTAGGGCTGATAAGATAGCTCATTGGGTAAGAGCGCTTGCAAGCAAGCCTGACAATCTGAATTAGGTCTCCAGGACCCACACTGTGGAGAGAGAACCAACTCCCACAACCTGCCTTCTAATCTCCACATGGATGCTGTGACACTCATTCCAAAGCATTCCACATGTACATGTGCACAGAATACATACATACATACATACATACATTTAAAACAAATAGCATAATTCATTTGGGTTTCTGTGCTGGACAGCTTTAGTGTCAACTTGACACACCTGGGTTGAGGAAGCCTCAATTGGAGAATTGCCTCTATTGGACTGGCCTGTGGCCATATCTGAAGGGCATCTTCTTGATGAGTGATGTGGGAGTACCCAGCCCACTGTGGGTGGTGCCCCCCGTGGGCAGGTGGGCCTGTGTAGCATAAGAAGGCAGGTTGAGCGGGGCCCAAGCCAGTAAGCAGCATTCCTCCATGGCCTGTGCTCCAGCTCCTGCCTCCAGGTTCCTGCCCTGAGATCCTACCTTGGGCTCCCTGATGAAATGTGACCCAGGAGATGTAAGATAAATAAACACTTTCCTCCCCAAGTTGGTATTGGTCAGAGTATTTTGTCACAACAATGAAGAACAAACTAGAACAGTTACCTTTCACCATATTTTCTACATTCTAATTTAAGAAAAATGGTCAATGAAGAAAATCAGATCTGCATAAGATTAAAAAGCAGCTCCCTGGGGCTGGAGAGATGGCTCAGCGATTAAGAGCACCGACTGATCTTGCAGAGGACCTGGGTTCGATTCCCAACACCCACATGGTGCCTATGAAACGTCCTTAACTCCAGTTCCAGGGGAATTCTAAGCTCTCTTCTGACCTCCCAGCATTGCATGACATGGATGTATTCACATACATGCAGGCAATACACTCATTCACATAAAATAAAAATAATAAATAAAGTATTTAAAAAATACATAAATAATAAAAAGCAGCTCCCTAGATACACTTTGGAGATGCTAGAACTCCTCTGTAATTTCTTATACATGCTTGACTTGAGAACCAGAAAAATAATAGAAATTTAAATTTTAAAACACTATAAGCCTTAAAAGAAGACTAGCTTATATTTCCTCTCTTTCTACATACGGAAATAAATTCTTTATATTTTTGTTAGCATAATTACATGCTTATTTAGTAGAGTTACTAAGAAGCCAGATACACAATTTTTTGAATTTTCAGTTGTAGTCAGTCTTTTTTATATATTAACTTTTGCCTCGGAGGGAGTTCTACTGTACATACAAAGCAGAATTGCGAGTACGCACATGAACAGGTATTTGTTGGCAGGAACATTCTGGTAGTAAAATCATCATTTATAAGGAATAAGAACATTATATTCTCATTCAGTAAAATGTAAACTGATTATTATAAACAAAACTTTCTGGGAGTGAGCATTGGTTAGTTCTACATTACAAAGATCAAATTTGCTGCTTTGCAATTTGTACATATTTATTTGTTTTATTATTAAAAATGTGAATGCAGAATGAGGCCCCAGGAGAATTCAAAGCATACATCAGTTCTCACTGTGAATGTTCAAGCAAGCAAATATGAAAATTACCATGTGACCTTTCCAAACAGATTGCATATTTGGGGCTATTACACTCAGTTTTGCATATGTGGAACTATTACAGCTCAGTTTCATCAATAGAGAAGTAGGAAATTACTAAAGTCTTAAATAATCAATGCTTAAATATGTTTGAATTCAATAATTTACAATATTTATAATGGTCATGTTTATTCATTCCTACACAGGGATGTAAAAATAAATGTTCATTATTTTTAAATTTATCTCTAAAGATAGATGCAGAATTATGTGATTCTGTCTCATTATTTCTGCCCATTTTCCATTGTCACCAGCTAACAAGATAACCTGATGTTGAGATTAGCAAAATTCTATAAAAATGACCTTTAGGATTTAGTTTAGACTCATTCCTTTCCAGTGTTATGAAGACTTTTAAGGAGCAGCACAGCTAACATTATTTACAGCTGAGGGCTGTTTGGTATTCTTCCCAGCCAGCTCTCCTCCTCTGCATTCTAATGTTTTCTTCATCAAAATGACTGTGTTAGTGTTCAGAAATAGTCTAGCATTGCTTGGTGGGAAGCGAGAGAGGGAGGGAGGGTAGGAGATAGAGAGAGAGAAAGAGAAAGAGAAAGAGAGAGAGAATATGATCATTTAAGAAACAGTCACATAAAGACCAAAATAAATAATTGCTGTTATACCTTTTCTTTCTGAATTAATAAATATCAATAAATAAACCATTTTATTAAAGGAATTAATTTATGCAAAATTCTAGCTATCCAGCAGGGGGAAAATGTCATTTGATTTGAATTCTACTTCCTTGACTCCCAAGCAACCTCACACCATTTGTTCCTTTAATTTCTTATGATAATTTCTGTAATTCATCTTGGTGATAGGAGAATCAAAGGATACTTGATCGTGTCCTAATTGCTGCTTTGAAATGGCCTTCCCTCCCTCCTCCCCTTCAGTAGCAGAAATTTAGCAACTATGGGATTCCATTCAAGTATGTGTAATGTTAAGTGTCAGACTTGCTGTATGGGAAGCTTTATATCCATTTTGTAAGTCTTTTTCAAGATCAAAGAAGATATAAATATCTTTATGTGCAATTATTTAGTATTCTTTCAATCATGTTGCACTTCAAGTATCTTAGGAAAAAGTAGCAAAATTCCTTCTTAAAAAATGTTC